ACTGAAATCTAACAACGTCAAAAAATTGTCTAAGGTCATATAACCTTGTGTTGATAGATATGGATCAGAACCTACTCCTGCTAATTGTTCCTCTTCCCCCATATTGTCCCTTTTTTTTTTCTGGTAACTGTAAAAGACGGTTTTGTTGTATGCTTACTGTATACCATGCTGTGTGCTTAAATACTTGTAATATACATTCATTCTAGAGTAGAGTGCATAAGAACTTGGCTTAGACCTAGAGGTAGACTGCTTGGGTTCAACTCCAGTTCTGCCTACCTGTGTGATTTGGGTAAATTACTCAGCTATTCTAAATCGCAGTTTCCATATCTATCAGTTGGATTGTTGTAAGGATTAAATGAAATGATGCATTCAGGAAAAAAGAACTAAATAAATATCAAGCAGTTCATAGACACTGAAATAACCACTTGGATTATTTCTCCTCTGTGGGACTGTTTCTCCCTCTGTCTCAATGGAGACTTTGTGGAATTTTATTATTCTTTGTTAAGTTTTTAAAACATATTTTAAATTGTGGTAAAATACACATACAACTTATCATTTAAATTATTTTAAAGTGTACAATTTAGTGGCATTAAGTACATTCACAATATTGTTCAACCATAATCATTATCTAGTTCCAGAGCTTTTTTATCACCTCAGATGGAAACCCCATACTCATCACTTCTTATCCCTTGTTGTTCAGCCCCTGGCAACCACTAATCAGCTTTTTGACTTTGTGGATTTGTGTATTCTGGGAATTTCATATAAATGGAATCATACAATATATGACCTTTTGTGTCTGGCTGCTTTTACTTAGCATAATGGTGTTAAGGTTCATCCATGTTATGGTATGTGTCAGTACTTTATTCCTTTTTATGAATGAGTAAGATTTCACTGTATGTATATACCACATTTTGTTTTTCCAAGTATTAGTTCAGAATATTTGAATTGTTTCCACCTTCGGCTACTATGAATAGTTGCTGGTATGAACATTGATATACAAGTTTTTGTTTGAACACTGGTTTTCTATTCTTTTTGATAAACAGTTGACCCTTGAACAATGCAGAGGTTAGGGACATTGACCCCCTGCACAGCCAAAAATTTGCATACAGCTTTTGACTCCCCAAAAACCTAACTGCTAAGGAAGCCAAGTGTTGACCAGAAGCCTTTCTGATAACATAAACAGTCGGTTAATACATAGTTTGTATGTTATATGTATTATCTACTGTATTCTTACAATAAAGTAAGCTAGAAAAAGTGTTATTAAGAAAATCATATGGAAGAGAAAATACATTTACAAATACAGTACAATACTGTATTTATATTTTAAAAATCTGCATGTAAGTGTACCTTAGCAGTTCAAACCCATGTTGTTCAAGGTTAACTGTATCCTACCTAAGGTGGAATTGCTGGATCACATGGTAACTTTTTGATAAATCAGCAAACTGTTTTTCTCAGTGACTGTACCATTTTACATTTCTACCAGCAATACACAAGGGTTCCAATATCTCCACATTCTCATCAACATTTATTTTCCATTTTTGGTTTTTGTTTCTGTAGCCATCCTACTGGGTCTGAGTGGTATCTCATTGTGGTTTTGACTTGCATTTCTCTAGTGACTAATGGTGTTGAGCATCTTTTTATGTGCTTTTTGGTCAGTTGTATATTTTCTTTGGAAAAATGTCAGTTTTAAACTGAATTGTCTTTTTGTTGCATTTAAGAGTTCTTTATAGAGCCGTCTGGGTAGCTCAGTTAAGCATCTTGGTTTCAGCCCAGGTCATGATCTCAGGGTTGTGAGATGATGGAGCCCCATGTTGGGCTTGGCACTGGGTGTGGAGCCTGCTTGGGATTCTCTCTCTCCCTCTCCCCTAGCCCCCACTTTCTCTCTTTCTCTCTCAAATAAATAATCTTTAAAAAAAAGTTCTTTATATATCCTGAATAGTAGATCCTTATCAGATATCTGATTTGCAAATATTTTTTCCCATAATGTGGGCCTTTTAACTCTCTTGAAAATGTCCCTTGATGTACAAAAACTTTTAACTTTGATGAAGTCTAATTTATCCATTTTGTTGTTATTGGTTATGCTTTGGTGTCATATCTAAAAAATCATTACCAAATCCATGAACAAGAAGGTTTATCCCTATGTTTTCAGAGTTTTATTTTTTGGGCTGTTATATTTAGGTCTCTGATCCATTTTGAGTTAATTTTTATATATATAGTGTGAGTTAGGGGTGAACTTCATTTTTCTACATGTGGATATCCAGTGTTCTTAGCATCATTTGTTGAAGAGATTGTTCTTTTCTCATTTCATGGTCTAGGCACTTTTGTCAAAAACTAATCAACCGAAGATATATGGGTTTATTTCTGAACTCTCAGTTCTATTTCATTGATTTATAGGTCTTTCCTTATATACCACATTGAATTGATTACAGTAACTTTATAGTAAGTTTTGAAATTCAACCTGTAAGTCTTCCAACTTTGTTCTTTTCAAGATTGTTTTGGCTGTTTGAGGCCCCTTGCAGCTCCGTATGAATTTTAGGATCAGATTTTCTGTTTCTTCAAAAAAAAAAAAAATCGTTGGTATTAGGGATTGCATTCAATGTCTAGATCACTTTGTGTAGTATTACCATTTTAACAGTATTAAATCTTCCAACCCATGAATATGGGATGTCTTTCCATTTATTTGGGTCTTTCAGCAATGTTTTATAGTTTTCAGTATGTATATCTTGTACCTCCTTGGTTAAATTTATTGCTTAATCATTTTTTAATACTTTTATAAATGGAATTGCTTTCTTAATTTCTTTTTCTGATTCTTCATTGATACAGAAATACACCTTTTTGTGTGTGTTGATCATGTATCCCACAACTTTGCTGAAATTGCTTATTAGCTCTAAGAGTTTTTTGTAGATTCTTTTGGATTTTATATATGTATAGGATTATGTCCTATGCATTTAAAAAACATTTTTAGACCTAGTTATTACCTTTACACCAGTGTTTTTCAACTTGCAGGTCACAACCTAATAGTGGATCATGAAATCAATTCAATTTGTAAGTTTTGTTCTGTGAAATTTGTGTATAAAACATAGATTGTTTGCATGTATTTGAGTCCTTGTATAAAATATATTTACCAGGAATTATAGTAAAAAAAAAATGAAACTCTTAGTAGTTGCTTTTCATTATCTTGGAAATGATAATTTTTTTAAAAGATTTTATTTTTTTCCTTGAGAGAGAGAGCAAGACAGAGAGAGAGCATGAGCAGGGGGCAGAGGGAGAGGGAAAAGCAGACGCCTCAATGAGCAGGGAGTGGACACAGGGCTCGATCCCAGGACCCCAAGATCATGACCTGAGCTGAAGGCAGATGCTTAACCAACTGAGCCATCCAGGTGCCCTTGTTTGTTTTGTTTCTTAAATTCCACATATGAGTGAAGTCATATAGCATTTGTCTTTCTCTGGCCGACTTACTTTGCTTAGCATAATACTCTATAGTTCCATCCATGTCATTATTAATGCAAGATCTCATTCTTTTTTATGGTTGAGTAATATTCCATTGTATAGCTTGTGAGATTTTTGCTTTTCATGCTTTCTGATAAATCATTTCTTAGCCTTGTTTTGGGTACTGTGGAGAAAATTTCTTACTGAATCCCAAGATACTTGAGAAGAATATACTTTATTAAAGATAATAATCTATCTAGTAAATTGCATATACTTATTACAAATGAAAACAAAAGCCACATTATGAAGGATAATATAATCTACAAAGATATCTTTTATTCTCCAATGGATAGAAATTACTAAAGTATAATAAAATGTATATTTTCAGTAATTGAATTAATATGAACTTTACTGAATATAGTAAAGAATTAAGGGTGAACTCACAGCTTTTTAAAGCAAATGAAGTACCTTAAAATATAACTATAATACATGGATACAAAATTACTACTTTACAAAAGTAAAATTATTCCCATGCACTAGACTCATGATAGGGTGTCTTTCCAATCTAATAAATTAAATACTATTTGATTTTTCTAAATTGTTGTGTATGATGCTAACTTGCATCTTTTACCCATGAACAGTTTTGGGGGTTATGGGCTATGTACAGTAAAGGACATTGGGACTGGAGCTACCACCAGTGGAGTTATTCTGCCCTCTGCCCTCTTTGTTCCACTCTCCATTTACTGATGCAGCATCTTCCCAGTGGTCCACCTGTCATTCTGACAGGGTTTTTTTGAGATTTTATTTATTTATTTGAGAGAGAGAGAGCACTAGCAGGGGGAGAGGGGGAGGAGTAGAGGGAGAGGGAGAAGCAGACTCCCCGCTGAGCAGGGAGCTTGACACAGGACTCAGTCCCCGGACTCCAGGATCACGATCTGAGCCAAAGGCAGATGTTTAACCAACTGAGCCACCCAGGCGCCCCTTTTTTTTACTGCATTATACAATTCAGCATGTATCGGGATGAGCCTGGGCTTTAGAATCCCATAAGACTGTGTTTAATTCTTCTCCCTCCTGTCAGCTTTCTGATTGTGGACAAGTCACTTGAGTCCTCTTAGCCTCACTTTCCTTTGCTATAAAATGGAGATAATTCAGGGTTACGCTGAAGAATAAATGCTATTATGCTGTGTATATGATGTGTCAAATAGAAGTGCCTGGCATGGTAAAAAAAAATGATAGCTATTAAAACACCTGTGTTATGATTAATACTTAGTAAATGGTAGTTCCATTTCTGCTTGCAACCAAAACTTGTATGAATGTTCTATCATTTTCAAGTAGAAGCTAATGAATTCTACAAAGTTCATCTGTGCCGCTGGGTGTTTGTTAGTAGAACATGTTTTCCATATAATTGTATAGATTTTACTAATGGTTTTGTGATACATTGGGTTTTAGATGATGGGAATTGCCTTGCTGTCTGTTATGAAAATATGAATATATGGGGTATGTCTGTTTTTAAGGTACCAAAACCCCAAAATAATAAATGAGCATTATTATTTTATTTTCCTCTTCTGTAGTTATGTGCTGCTCATCTTCCAGCTGAATCAGAGGCACCGAATCATTATCAGGCAGTATGTCGTGCACTGTTTGCAGAAACAATGGAGCTACACACGTTTCTGACTAAAATTAAGAGTGCAAAGGAGGTAAGTACTACTGCTTTTATTTATTGGCATTGTGAAAGATTAACCTGAATTTTCAACACTGTCCATCATAATATTTAAAATATTTATTACCATCCTTATGATGAGTGCTGAAAATAATTTAGGAAAGAATCAACTTAGGCAAAATTAAATCTGTTTTTTTTTAAATTGCAGTATAGTTGACATATATACAATATAGTGATTGAACAATTCTATACCTTACTCAGTGCTCACCCATCCTCCCACCCACATCCCCTCTGGCAATCATTAGTTTGTTCTCTCTAGTTAAGAATCTGTTTTTTTGTCTCTTTTTCCTTTGTTCATCTGTTTTGTTTCTTAAATTCTACATAAGAATGAAATTATATGGTATTTGTCTTTCTCTGACTTATTTGGCTTAGCATTATGCCCTCTAGATCCATCCATGTTGTTGCAAATGGCAAGATCTCATTCTTTTGTATGGCTGAGTAATACTCCATTGTATATCTGTACCACATCATCTTTATCCACTCATCTGTCGATGGACACTTGGGCTACCTCCATAATTTGGCCATTGTAAATAATGCTCCAGTAAACATAGGGGTGCATATATCTTCTTGAATTGGTGCTTTCATATTTTGGGGGTTAATACCCAGTAGTGGAATTACTAGATCATATGGTAATTCTATTTTTAATTTTTTGAGGAACCTCCATACTGTCTTCCACAGTGGCTGCACCAGTTTGCATTCCCACCAACAGTGTAGAAGGATTTTTTCTCCACATCCTTGCTAACGCTTGTTGTTTCCTGTGTTGTTAATTTTAACCATTCCGACAGGTGTGAGGTGATATCTCATTGTGGGTTTGATTTGCATTTCCCTGATGATGAGTGATGGTGAGCATCTTTTCATGTGTCTCTTGGCCATCTGGATGTCTTCTTTGGAGAAATGTCTATTCGTGTCTTCTTTAATTATTACTATTATTATTATTATTATTATTATTATTATTGTTAGTCCCCATACAGTACATCATTAGTTTTTGATGTAGTGTTCCATGATTCATTATTTTCGTATAACACCCAGTGTGCCATGCAATATGTGCTCTCCTTAATACCCATCACTGGGGCAACCCATCCCCATACCCCTCTCCCCTCTAAAACCCTCAGCTTGTTTCTCAGAGTCCATAGGCTCTCATGGTTCATCTCCCTCTCTGATTCCCCCCCCTTCATTTTTCCCTTCCTTCTCCTTAATGTCCTCCATGCTATTCCTTATGTTCCACAAATAAGTGGAACCATATGATAATTGACTTTCTCTGCTTGACTTATTTCACTTCCATCCCCGTCTTCTGCCCATTTTTAATTAGATTATTTTGGTTTTCTTTTCCATGTTGAGTTATATAAGTTGTTTTATATTTTGAATCCTCTTTATTGGATATGTCATTTGCAAATATCTTCTTCCATTTGTTAGGTTGTCTTTTAGTTTTGTTGATTGTTTCCTTTGCTCTGCAGAAGCTTTTTATTTTGATATAATCCCAATTATTTTTCTCTTGTTTCTCTTGCCTCAAGAGACATATCAACAAAAATTTTGTTATGACTGATGTCAGTGAAATTACTGCCTGTGCTCTCTTCTAGGATTTTTATGGTTTCAGGTCTCACATTTAGGTCTTTAATCCATTTTGAGTTTATTTATGTGTATGGCGAAAGACATTGGTCCAGTCTCATTCTTTTGCACGCAGCTGTCCAGTTTCCCCGGTACCATTTGTTGAAGAGACTGTCTTTTTCCCATTGCATATTCTTGTCTCCTTTGTCAAAGATTAATTGACCACATGATCATGAGTTTATTTCTGGGTTTTCTATTCTGTTCTCTTCATCTATGTATTTTTATCAGTGTCTGTGCCAGTTCTGTACTGTTTTGATTACTATAGCTTAATAGTATATCTTGATATTTGCAGTTGTAATATTTCCAGTTTTGTTCTTCTTTTTCAAGATTGCTTTGGCGGGGTGCCTGGGTGGCTCAGTCGTTAAGCGTCTGCCTTCGGCTCAGGTCATGATCCCAGGGTCCTGGGATCGAGTCCCACATCGGGCTCCCTCCTTGGGGGGAGGCCCGCTTCTCCCTCTCCCACTCCCCCTGCTTGTGTTCCCTCTCTCGCTGTCTCTGTCAAATAAATAAATAAATAAACTCTTTAAAAAAAAAATTAAAAAAAAAAAGATTGCTTTGGCTTTTGAAGGTCTTTTGTGGTTCCATATAAATTTTAGGATTATTTATTCTAATTCTGTGAAAAGTGCTGTTGGTATTTTGATAGAAATTGCATTAAATCTATAGATTGCTTTGGGTAATATGGACATTTTAACAATATTTGTTCTTCCAATCCATGAGCATGGAATATCTTTCTATTTGTGTTGTCTTCAGTTTCCTCATCAGTTTTCAGAGTACAGGTCTTTCACCTTATTTGTTTATTCCTAGGTATTATTTTTGGTGCCATTGTATGTGGGATTGATTTTCTTTTCTTTTGGGAGGGGATTTGTTTTCTTAATTTCTCTTTCTGCTGTTTCATTATTATTGTGTAGAAATACAGCAGATTTCTGTACATTGATTTTGTATCCTGTGGCCTTACTGAATTCATTTATCAGTTCTAGTAGTTTTGGGGTGGAATCTTTAGGGTTTTCTATGTATAATGTCATATCATGTGCAAATAGTGAAAGTTTTTCTTCTTCCTTACCAATTTTGATGCCTTTAATTCTTTTTCTTGTCAGATTGCTATGGCTAGGACTTCTAGGACTATGTTGAATGAAAGTGATGAGAGTGGACATGCTTGTGTTGTTCCTGATCTTAGAGAAAAAGCTCTTAGTTTTTCAGCATTGAGTATGATATTAGCTGTGGGTTTTTCATGTATGGCCTTTATTATGTTGAGTTATTTTCCCTCTAAACCTGCTTTGTTGAGGATTTTTTCATGAATGGATATTGTGCTTTGTTAGATACTTTTTCTGCATCTATTGAAATGATCATGTGGTTTTTATCCAAAACTTGCTGATGTGATGTATCATGTTGATTGATTTGTGAATATTGAACCACTTTTGCTTCCCAGGAATAAATCCCACTTGATCATGGTGAATGACTTTTTTTACTGTATTGTTGGGTCCTGTTTACTAGTATTTTGTTGAGGATTTTTGCATCTCTGTTCATCAGAGATATTGGCCTGTAGTTCTCTTTTTTGTGGTGTCTTTATCTGGTTTTGGTATCAGGATAATGCTGGCCTCATAGAATGAATTTGGAAGCTTTCCTTCTATTTTTTTGGAATACTTTGAGAAGAATAGATATTAACTCTTCTTTACATGTTTGGTAGAATTTACCAATTCTGTGAAGCTGTCTGATCCTGGGCTTTTGTTTACTGGGAGTTTTTTGATAACTTACTCAATTTCATTGCTGGTAATTCATCTGTTCAAATTTTCTATGTCTTCCTAATTCAGTTTTGGGAGGTTGTATGTTTCTAGGAATTTATCCATTTCTTCTAGATTGTCCAATTTGTTGGCATATAATTTTTGATAATATTCTCTTATCTTTTGTATTTCTGTGTTTCAATTGTTATTTCTCCTCTTTCATTTCTGATTTTGTTTAAAATTAAATTTGTTCTTAGTTTTTTAATCTGTTGTTTAAATGAAAGTGTGTGAATCCATATTATAAAACAGATTTTTGTAAAGCTTCCTTACAAATGAGAAATAAAATGCCACTGAATTAGTTCAGTCAGTTTCCCATATGACTTGCTTTTCACCATCTTTCTGCCACTCTTTCCATTTTAAAAGGTAGAGTACCTTTTTCAGGAAGGAATATGGACTCAGGAAGGAGGCTACACATTTGATAATTTAACTATTTTATAGTGGATTTGGATAAATATTTAATGGCGGTGATTGGAATTAATATTCATATAGTTGACAATCTCATTTTAGCTATTTTCTTTCATTATTATTCATCATTGTCTGTGATTTAAACTGTTATGTGTAGAGTCCAAAGAGAATCACTCTAATTTATTTACAAGTTGAATCACCATATTGTACATCACACAGATGGTTGTGAAGATTCGTGAGATCTATATAAAGCAGCACAGCATCTGTCATGCAGTAAGAGCTCAGTACATGATAGGTAGTGGGTATAATTTCTTTTATGACTAAAGTACAGAGTTTCTCTGAAGTACTAGTTTAAAACTTCTGATGACACAGAGTTTGGGGAGGGATACAGTGCAATGTGTAAGAGTGGAAGGAAAATACTAACCCATATTAGCCTAATAAGACTAATTATCTCTGGTAGTAGTGAGTGACAGATGTGTCATCCAGATCACCCTTAATAAATCACCTTAAATAAATCCATTTTATATGTATGAATAAGAGCTCTAAGCATTCTTTTCTGTCCTAGCCTGGATACTGTTCATAGTCTGTCTTTTTGTTATAGGCCAATGAAAAACTATGCTTTTTTTTTTTTTTTTAGGATTTTATAGAGTTAGACCAAGAGAAAAAGTCTTCAAAGGGTGGAAAAGGGTGAACTATGTGTTATTTGAAGAATAATTACAGGGGTGCCTGGGTGGCTCAGTCGTTAAGCATTTGCCTTCGGATCAGGTCATGATCCCAGGGTCCTGGGATCGAGCCCCTCATTGGGCTCCCTGCTCTGCAGGAAGCCTGCTTCTCCCTCTCCCACTCCCCCTGCTTGTGTTCCCTCTCTCGCTGTGTCTCTCTCTGTCAAATAAATAAATAAAATCTTTAAAAAAAAAAAGAATTATAAATACATCATGGACTAGCTTGTCCTCTTGGACAGAACCAGATTAAATGCTTCAGAGTAAACATCCAAAAGTACATCCTCAATTAAGGTTTAGTAAATAGTAGAAAAGATTACTTTTTAAGCTTGTAATTGTCTTCCCCAGCTTGTTAAGTTTGAGATTGCTTTCTCCAGAGAAACAAGCGTTATTTTTAGGATGTAAGTATAGTCCTGTGGGGTTAATAGAGTAAATTAAATGCACTGCTGAAGTCCTTTCAACACACACAT